GGCAGCTTGCGGATCAGCAGCTCGGTGGACTTCTGGTAGCGCCGGATCTCGCGCAGCGCCACGGTGCCGGGCCGGTAGCGGTGGGGCTTCTTGACGCCGCCGGTGGCCGGCGCGCTCTTGCGGGCCGCCTTGGTGGCCAGCTGCTTGCGCGGGGCCTTGCCGCCGGTCGACTTGCGCGCGGTCTGCTTGGTTCGGGCCATGGCGGACAGAGGCACTAGCTCTCCGGCGCGGCGGCAGGGACAGTGACCTGGTGCCCGCCCGCCGCCGCAGTCTTTATAGGCACAGTCTTTTCCCGATTGGGCGGGGAGAAATTGAAAAGTCCCGCGCAGGCCGTCCGTTGGCTGTGACGTCACCCGCACCGGCCTCCGCGGTTGGTTCGGGCGGGACCCTGCCGCCCCGAGCGCCCCACGCCCCCTCCGCGGCCTCGCCTGCCCGGTCCGCTCTGCCCGCGCTCTGCCCACCGCGTCTTCTTTCCCTCCCTCTCGCGTCTTGGGTCGCTGCTCCGTCCGTCCGAGGGTTCCTTCCCTCTTCGGCCCTTCGTCCCCTTGGAGCACGCTGCCCGCGACGCCCTCCTCCGCACGCTTTGTGGCTCCCGAGTCGAGCCTCAACTTTTACTTGACCCCGGTCCCCGAACGCCTAGTCCCGCCTCCCTCCCGCTCCCGGGTGGCTTCGGGGCGGACCGTTCGTGCTTCTCGGGTGGGAGGGTTGTGTCCCCTCCGGGGCGCCACATCCCGCCTCTGGAGGCCTAGGCGACCCAGGCCCGCCGCGCTCGCCTGCAGCAGACAGGGCTTGCGCTGGTGACTACGTCCCCTAGGGGCTACCGGGCCTCCTTTGGGCGGGGGGGGGGTCCCTCAAGAGCCCGAAAGAACGTGTGTGGGGTGGGGAGTGGTGTCACATACTGGTGGGAGCCACCGCCGCGGCGTTAGCGTTACTGACCCGGGCTGCCCGTGGAGCGGTGTCCGGTCCCCGCCGTGCTGGGCTCCAAGACTCACGGCCCACCCGGCAAGGGCCGGCAGACTCCAGGCTCAAGCCTCGGAGAGAACGGCCGGGAGCACGAGGCGAAGGGCTCTCCCCGCGCTCGCCGGCCGGCAGTCCCCTCCGGGTCACCGCTTACTACGGGGCGGGGGCAGGGGCGGTTACTGTAACAACTCCTTTCACTTGAGGGTGTGGGTGGCTCTGAAAAGAGCCTTTGATTTCACAGGCACCCCCTTCGGGGCGCGCGGGCTGCAGTGGGCGGCTACCGGACGCCTGTCCCACTTCACTTCCCCTTTGCCTTGTGGTGACTCTCCGTCTTCTTCGGGAGCAACACGGCCTGGATGTTGGGCAGGACGCCGCCCTGGGCGATGGTCACTTTGCCCAGCAGCTTGTTCAGCTCCTCGTCGTTGCGGATGGCCAGCTGGAGGTGACGGGGGATGATGCGCGTCTTCTTGTTGTCGCGGGCCGCGTTGCCAGCCAGCTCCAGGATCTCGGCCGTCAGGTACTCGAGCACCGCCGCCATGTAGACGGGCGCGCCGGCCCCCACCCGCTCGGCGTAGTTGCCCTTGCGCAGCAGGCGGTGCACCCGGCCCACCGGGAACTGGAGGCCAGCGCGCGACGAGCGCGACTTGGCCTTGGCGCGGGCCTTGCCTCCCTGCTTGCCACGGCCGGACATGACAGCGACAGTCAACACGACCAGCTCCCGCCTGAACACCCGGGAAGTCGCGGCAAACGGCGCCGCTTCACCCTTTTATAGGCAGAACGGCGATTGTCGGTGGTGTGCTCTCATTGGCCAAAGCACAGTTTTGCCCCATGACCAATAGGAGAGCTCAGTCAGAATCCGTTCATTTACATAATCTCGTCTCCCTCTCCTCCGCGCCGCCGAAAACCCGCGAATCACAGCGTGGCGCGATCGCGACCTTAATTTGCGTACGGCCGCTATAAGTACGCGGTCGTTTCCGGTGCGCCCCTGCGCTTCTCCTGCGCTGCGCTTCTCCTGTAGCGATAGCCTTCCCGGTCTCCAGCTGCCCGCGCTTCTTGCCTCTGGCTTCTCGCCATGCCGGAGCCGGCCAAGTCCGCTCCTGCCCCCAAGAAGGGCTCCAAGAAAGCCGTCACCAAGGCCCAGAAGAAGGACGGCAAGAAGCGCAAGCGCAGCCGCAAGGAGAGCTACTCCATCTACGTGTACAAGGTGCTGAAGCAGGTGCACCCCGACACGGGCATCTCGTCCAAGGCCATGGGCATCATGAACTCGTTCGTCAACGACATCTTCGAGCGCATCGCCGGCGAAGCGTCCCGCCTGGCGCACTAC